GCAAAAAGTCACGAAGTTTATATAAAAGCTGTACTTCAGTCTCTAATAGTATCAAATCAATCTTGTTGCTGCTAGTGAGCAATTTATTTATTGCAGCTTTTTGGCACCCAAAACTGCTAAAACGCTGTTCCACCTAGTTGTGACCGAGTTTTTAAGAGAAACATTACTCTTGTCCACCAAACTACTTCGCAAGTAATTAGTGTTGTTAATGTTCTTATAAGTTTGCAGGGGAACATCATCCAACGGTCCAAAATCATCATCGTAGTCAACCCATTCAGTGTATTCGGATGCAAGCAGTTCTTCTAAATTGTCGATATTTGACAAAACTTCATTTTGAAGTGCGTCAACTTGACATCTTAAAACATGTGTCTTAAATCGTAAAGCTCTCACAATACTTTTGCACTTCACAATTAAGTTTTTAATTTCCGACACGGAATTGTAGCCATCTACATTGAGCAAATTGTGTAGTCCTTGTCCAAGGCAGAAATGGTTGTTTAAACACCCCAAATTAATAGCTTTTTATACCCGTACTCAAAAAAGAGTAAAGGGGTATATTAGATTTGTGGTAAAAGTGGATGTGTGTTACGCAGAGAGGGAAACGTTTCCGACCCCATAAAGTATATATATTCTTGATCAGCTTCAATAGCCGAGTCGGTATAGCTATGTCCGTCCGTCTGTCCGTCTCGATGAGCGCCTGGATCTCAGAGACTATAAGAGCTTAAGAAACCAAATTTGGTTTCCAGACTCATGTGATATCCCACTGCTACAAGTGTATTTCAAAATTTCGCCCCGCCCCCACAAAGGACGAAAATCTGTGGCAGGCACAATTTTAAAGATAAGATAAAACTAAAAACGCAGTATCGTAGAGAATGACCCATTCTACCAGATTGCCAAATCTGAATCTGATCGGATGATAATTATAGCCAGAATGAAGAAATCAATTTTCTGTTGCTTGCCCCTCCCCTCCTGCCCATGACAACGCAACTCATTTTGCTTCTCGCTCGCACACTCTGCCGCGTTTAGTGCGCGAGCAACCCCTAGCGGAGGAGATGTAGAATCTAAATGGAACATGTACAATCTACATGTTAGATGTAGAATATACATTGTAGATGTAGATAATAGATTTAGCAAAAAAATGTAATATGTAAACTTTTTTTTAGTTCTAAAATTCGAAAAAATTAAATCAAAATGGAAAATATATATACTGATTGAGTAAGTAGAGTCGCGTCCCAAGAAGCGACTCGCACGTTCCTTCTCGTTTTTTTTTTGGTTTGCGGACCATGGTAATTAGGTGAATCTTCTAAAGCCGACGATAAAGGGCATGCCCGATTCGAGTTGAAAAAACACGCCTACGGACTAAGCACCCCCAATATAAATCTGTTTTTATTTTAGGTACTGAGAACATATTCAAATTTAAAAAAAATGATGAAGCAATGGAATGACTAAAATATTTCCCTCATACGGTAAACCTACACCTTTAATTGCAAATCTACAAATTCAAACCTTTCCTCTAATGCTATGGTTTCCCTATTTACTAAAACTATTCCTAGTCCGATTGAGTTTATAGGTTCCTCATAGCTCCTAATATTTGAAAGTCTTTTCGCTATAATAGCTCCTCCCTCCTCTGCCGTAAACCCTGTCACAATAATTGGGATATTTCCTTTTAATAAAAATAAATGATCAGGTTCCTTTTCTGATAAAAAAAAAATGATTAAAAAAGCACTTACTACCCACTATCCTAGGATTTTTCTGTACTTTTATTTTCATTCTGTCTTCACTCATTTTTCTAAATATTTATTCAAGAATTTTACTAGGCTTTCGGACACATTTTTTTAAGTTTATAAATAATTTTCAAACGCATACGATGAGCCGGAAATCGGATCTCCGATTTGATCTACAGTCTCCTTTACGTGCAATAAACTGTGTACATTATAAGACACCGTATTTTCACCGAATACAATTGGAAACACTAGCACTAGGGACACTAGCTTATCTGAAATGCGTTCTGTGGACTCTTTCGAACTTTTTACTTCTAACTTATTATTGACAAACCTTAACAACATCTTACGCATCACTCCTAACTCTACCAAATGCATGCAATCTAAGCGAATCTGTGTCACCATGGAAATGTTAATTTCTTCTAATATTGACCTACAATTTAAATACTGACTGCTATGATGACAAGGATATCTTCTAAGCGCAAAATCTTCATTGGTAATTAAAACTCCTGAAGTAGTACCATAGGTCAAAATTCTGTCTACCCTTCTGGCTATCTGTGTACATTTGGCGCACCCGTGACTAGATGCGTGTCCCGGGGTGCCGCTAATAAATGCTCTTGCTGGAGCATCGCAAACTACGCCCTAATAACAATATTTATAGGTCTGCCACAAATGGTAATTCTTTAAATTCTAAAAAAAATTTTGTTAAAAACTGCTCACAGCTATGGAGCTTACTTTTCCTAAAAATATTCCAACTGGAAACACTGGAACATTTGGAAAATTGTTGACTCTAACTAATACGGGCCATAGCTGTGTCCTTGAACTTCTGAATAATGGAAGTCCGTCAATATTTATATCAATATTTAGCTCTTCCATTATTTTAATGTTCTGAAAATGGCGTTGAAGCTGCCAAGCTAGATCTATGTGAAGAAGAGATCCTCCACCAATTAACTGAATGTCGCCTCTGTTTTGGCGTTTTGCTTTGTAAAACTGACAAACATCTATATTTTCCTCTTTTAAAATACCTACTAAGTCTAGTGCACATTCACGCGTTGGCCTTTGTTTTATAAACCACTGCCTTAGTTTTGTCATTTAATGACGATTTATTTGGTTGAATTTCCTCATAAACTAATTCTTCCTGTTCTATCTGTATTCCAGTTTCTTCTAATTATTTTTCTACCAATTTTTTTTCCACTTAAATAAAAGTGCACTGCACGACGCTAACTTTTCAAGGTTCGATTCCCTCTCACACTTTCGGAGTCTGCGCAAATGCCGTTTGCTCATAATTTTATTCAAAATATGTAATATCTTGTCACGTACCTGTTGTATGGCGTTTAATTTATTAATTTGAAGTGTTATTTCTCACTTTTTAATTAAATAATCGCAAAACAATTTCAAGTGCTTCTTCCAGCAACTAGATCTAGCACAGAAGTGGAAAAAAATCAACGCACAAAGCATACGCGCGGAGAAAAAATGCATTTTGTTTGTGTACTTTTTTGTCTCTTGCATTCCACGAGTGCAAGTACAGTAAAGTATCACGAATAACTTACCATTTTGGTGCGAATTGCATGTAACAGCATCAGTAAAAACTAACTGAGTCCGCCCTGTAGTCTAACTCTTTTTCGCGGTTTCTTCATAATTCCACGGCTTTAAGGTTATTTGTCGACTTCGAAAACAAAGCGAGGGCGGCTTCGTTTCTGTTTTTCTGTTTCGACTGGGTTCTGATCGCTTCCCGCATAACTAGTTGCAGAACTATTATATTGTATCCGACAAAGGCCTAGTCGCCGTTCGCTTCGAGTTCGAGAAGGTCAATTCACCCCTTTGGTTCTACAGGGACGGACACATAGAAATATGGACACTGTCCATATTATAGAAAATTATTAGATTCCAAGAGGAGGCTACAATTTCAAGATAGTAGATACCAGATACCTCCGAAATGAGATCCTGCCGGGGGGATAAAATGCCAATCAATTCTATATTTTTCAAGTTGCGCAGCAATCATAGTATTTCTTGGATTGCTTTAACTACATCTTGATCTAACTTTCTTGAAGCTCCTACGAAATTTGTTCCGTTGTCGGAATAGATGTTGGCACATTTACCTCGTCTAGCGATAAATCTTCTAAGTGCTGCTAAAAATGCATCAGAATTTAAATCACTGACCATTTCTAAGTGTATTGCTTCGGGAGCCATACTAACAAATACAGCAATATATCGTTTATATGACTTTTGGCCACGAGTTTTGGAACATTTTACGTAATAAGGACCTGCATAATCTATTCCAGTATTTAAGAAGGGGTATGTCATCGTAACTTTATCCACCTTGGAATTCGAATATTTTCTAAATTTATTAAATTCTCTTTGTAAGTTTCCCAGTCTTTCCTATCTTCTTTCGATAATTCCTGATCCCATTCACTTTTATTTATCCAAAGCCTTTGAATGAAAAGTTTTCCTATAAGAGTCACGGGAGCCAGCCATCCTAAGGGATCATAGATTTTTGATAGTGTCGATAACACAACCGTTTTATTTGTTATTTTGGATGACCCGCAGCTTACATTGAACTTAAATAAATCTTTTTGGAGTTCCCATTTGAGTCCTTAACATTTTCATTCTTAACAATACTAAGAACTTTATTGTCACCAGTGTCTTCCATCCGTGTCCACGCATGAACTAAAAATTTGCAGAGATTTTTGCAATTTGTTAAAGCCGTTCAAAGATGCAACAGAAAAAATCAGCGGAGAAAATTACGTAACAGTGAGCTTAGTAATTCCATTGATTTCCATCCTTTTGAAAAAACTAAAAGATATGAAACAAATAAACAGTAACTTGTGAAAGACGTGCTAGTGCCGAGCTCCGCCAATGCATACATTTTTCCAAGAAGTCTCAAATAATAAAAGATCAGCTGTTGGAAAATCCAAGCATAAGGTGCTTACCAACACCCGACAACTGACACCGACTCTCCAATTGGCCGGGCCGTGGATAAAAACAACTTTATATTTTTGTCGAAATCCATCATCTTAAAATCACTCAAATTTGGCTCACGTGAGGAAAGGAGACGAGGAAAAAGCGCGAAATAAAAATGTTTCACTCAGCGTGTGAAGGAGAAAACAATTGCACTTTGCATTAGAGGTAACATTAGACAGCTGTCCAGCGATTGATACAGATATCGGAAAAGCTTGTCACAAATTCCACCAGAGGGCGCTCGCTCACCACATCAGATCCGTTGATCGGCAAAGCAGTATCGGTGTTACAACTTTCAAGCAGTTTTTCAGTTAGAAGTTTGAAATGCCACCAGTTACTAAGCGAGTGCGTGAAAACACCGACACTGACCTCAAATCAGCACAAAAAGCTGATTCTCTGTCGCCAAGCCTTCTGCAACTATTGGACAAACGCCTAAAGGAGCAGACGGATCTCATTGCAACAAAAATGGAAGAGTGCGAAAATCGGTTATGTGATTTATTAGCCGAAAAAATAGGCACTCTAACTGGACAAATAAAGCAGCTTAGCGACCGGGTGGAGTTCCTTGAAAAGGAGTTGGGCGAGGCTCGAGGAATAACGCAAAGAGTCGCCGATCTAGAAGCTAAGCTAAGTCACAAGCTATCTGTGCAAGAAAATGCAAACATCGCCTGCGATTTGCGCATTCACGGTGTCCCCTTTGTTGAAGGCGAAAAATTGAAGCATATTTTCAACACCCTATGCTTCAATTTAAATTTAACCCCAGCGCCTACCATTAAGGACATCTACCGCATGGGAAAAGGACGGAACCAACCACAGTCAATAGTTGATCCGGTAATAATCGTCAAGCTCGATCACTTACGTGATAAGGCTGCGCTGCTCAGAGCAATTGGCACGCTAAGGCGCGAAACGCAGCAAACACTGACCCTCCAGCAACTTGGATTGGACTCCCCGGCCCCCGTTTATGTCAACGAGCAATTAACGAAGGAAAACTATTTGGTTTTCAGGGAAGCTATGAAGCTGAAAAAGGCTAGGAAACTAACGGCTGTGTTCACGCGAAGAGGAGTAGTACATGTCAGGGCAAGCCAAAACGGTGAAATCATTGTTCTAGAAAACATGAACCACCTTTCCATGATACCAACTTGTTCCTTTCGCCATCAAGAAGGAGAGCAGCAGTGACGCAGAAATGATAGCAAGTAAAATTAATAATACTTTACCAGTAGTTTTAATTAAAATATGTGTTTTTAGATGTGTTTTTAGATTTTTTCCTGTTCTTGCGCTGTTGAATATTACTTCATTTGAACATTTAAAATGGGTGATTCCACAGAAAGCATAAATCCTAATACCCATGGTTTGCTAAGAATTCTGGTGAAGCAAAGATCTGGCCTAAAAATTTGCCATATTAATGCACAAAGCGTGCCAAAGAAAATAGAAGAGTTCAGATATATGTTTACCGATTCTAAAATAGATGTTATTTGTGTGTCTGAAACTTGGTTCGTCTCTGAATGTAGTGATTTGTTAATTGCATGTAGTGGTTACAATGTTTTTCGTTCAGATCGTATTGGCCATGCGGGTGGCGTTGCAATTTACACAAGAAAAAATATCCTGACTAAAATTGTCTGCAAACAGCCCCCAGAAAGTGAACTCGAATATATTTTTGTAAAACTGATCGACACAAAAAGCTCAAATAAATTACTACTAGGATGCATTTATCGACCTAATCAGAACATTGACTATTCCGAATTGACAACTAAAATATCTGACATATCCCTTACATATACTGATATAATTCTGACTGGAGATTTTAACTGTGATATATTCAGACAAAGTCACTTGACAGAACATATGGAAGCATTAGGACTGAACTTGGTAAACTCTACGGTGGCCACACACTATACAAAAACCCGAAATACTTTACTTGACTTATTTTTTGTGAATGTTAAAACAAAGATAATGTTATACGATCAACTTTCAGTACCTGGATATTCAAAACATGACTTATTATTTTTGACCTATGACTTTAATCTTGACGAAAATGACCCTCCCATATTCTACAGAGACTTCAAAAATATTGACTTTGCAAAGCTTGACATTGACATTAACCTACTTGACTGGCACTCTATATATGACCAATTATCCGTTAACACTCAACTTGACCAGCTTCAGTTTAATATTAATTACCTCTTTAATCAGAATGTTCCGCTAAAGAGAGCAACTGCCAATCGAAAAGCAAATCCTTGGTTCTCAAATGACCTAAAACTAGGAATTAAAAAAAGAAACCAAGCTTATCATAAGTGGAAGAGATACAAGACTGAAACTCATTTTAAAATTTACCAAGAAAATAGACAGAATGTGTCAAAGAGAATTATCGAAGCTAAAAAATCGTACTATACAGTAACACTTAACGAAGCAATCACTTCTAAACAAAAATGGCAAGCAATAAAAAGTATAGGGATAGGGAAACAACAATCTGTGGCCCAAGCAAATATTAATGTTGAAGAACTAAATATAAAATTTTCGCAACCTCCAGTGCCTGTCACTAGAAACAATACAAGACTGAGCTCCGTACCTGCCAGTCATACATTTCCAGACTTTAACTTTATCAGCGTGAGTCCGAGAGATGCCCTTGACTGTATTTTGAAAATAAAGTCCACCGCAACTGGTCTAGATAATATGAACCCCAAATTTCTCAAACTTATACTCCCATATATTATAATGCCAATTACCCATATATTCAATACTGCTCTAATGACGTCAACGTTCCCTGAAAAATGGAAAGAAGCTCAAATCATACCCATCCCAAAATCAAATTCAAAAGATTATAGACCTATTTCAATTCTCCCAATGCTATCGAAAGCCTTTGAAAGCTTAATGGCAAAACAGATCAGTGACTATCTGACAGAGCACAAAATACTAAATGATAATCAGTCTGGATTTAGGAGAAATAGAAGCTGTACAACAGCCATTATAAAAATAGTAGAGGATATACGAGAACAAATGGATGAGGGCAAAATAACATTCCTGACACTACTTGACTTTAGCAAGGCCTTGTTTGCTTAGTGGTGTAACGCAGAGAAGGAAACGTTTCCGACCCCATAAAGTATATATATTCTTGATCAGCATCAATAGCCGAGTCGATATAGCCATGTCTGTCTGTCCGTCTGTCCGTCTGTCTGTCTTGTTGAGCGCCTAGATCTCAGAGACTATAAGAGCTAGGGGAACCAAATTTTGTTTCCAGACTCATGTGATATCACACTGCTACAAGTGTATTTCAAAATTTCGCCCCGCCCCCTTCCGCCTCCACAAAGGACGAAAATCTGTGGCAGGCACATTTTTAAAGATACGATAAAACTAAAAACGCAGTGTCGTAGAGAATGCCCATATCTACCAGACTGCAGAATCTGAATCAGATCGGATCATAATTATAGCCATAATGAAGAAATTAATTTTCAGTTGCTTCCCCTTCCCCCTCCTGACGCATTCAAGCAAGTCATTTTCCTTCTCGCTCGCACACTCTGCCGCGTTCAGTGCGCGGAGCAACCCCCTAGCGGAGGAGATGTAGAATATGAATGGAACATGTACAATCTACATATTAGATGTATAATAGACATTTTATATGTAGATGTAGATAGCATATGTAGCAAAAAAATGTAAAATGTAAAATTTTTTTTTTTTTTTCTAAAATTCTAAAAAATCATAAGCTCAAAAGTGTATGTATATACTGACTGAGTACGGGTATAAGTAGAGTCGTGTCCCCAGAAACGACTCACACGTTCCTTCTCGTTCGTTTTGTTTTGAAAAGCTGATGTTGCGTCGGGCGCGCGGGGTATTTCTTCCATTCTCTTTTAGGCTAGCCTTTGCCTCTGCTTTCGGCTTCGTCAATGACAATTTTCAAACAAACACACCAACACTACAAGAAATAAATTAAACAATCCACGATTTATAATTTAAACCTTTTCGTCATCTTTTTTGGATTTTTTGTTTTCCTTCGGTATTTTCTCCCGATAGTTTTCCAGCGCCCACTCCGCAGTCATATTCTTGACTGCAACCTCCGGTAACGCTTACGGGGACTAGGTTTATCTGCACTTTGTCGATCCAAACCGACATATAGAGCAAACTATCGAGGATATAAATGCCATTCCGTCCGCCGTCCATCCCGCAAATAACCCAGTTCTGCTCACGACTGCGTCGAAGAGGTAAACAAAGGAGCCCGCACTAACAATATTTGCAAAAAATTTTGGCAATCAGTGTGACCGTTCCTCTCCTCGGCTCATTGTGTGAGAAATCTCACTGAACGGTGATCTCAAACAATCCGAGTCGACCCGACTATTGTTTTCCAGCAAGCTCGAGGCCTTTTTCCTAGCAGACTTCCATAAGTGGGTTATATTTCCGAATAAATATTTGTTTCCTGGCGTCTTTCCGTTTGAACTCTACTCAGAGCAGTCTTGTGTCCTTCCAAGACTTCCAAAACCGATTTACTGTGCGTGTGTGAGTTCGTGATATGCCAACAGGTCACAAGGACATCAACAAGTTTTTGCCTGTGATCTCTTCAAGCCGTTTACGAACATCTTCCGCCTACGGAACTCCGCCGACACAAAAAATCAAGTCACTCCGAGAGCCGCAAGTAGTAGCCCTGCTGCCAGGACCAAATCGGTTTTGCTAATATTAATATTTGCCACCTTGGAAAAAATTTCCGCGCCCGCGCTCTGATCGACTCGGGCTTCGAGGCAACGTTCATTTCGGAACGCCTTTTCAACACGATTCAATTGCCATTCCAACGTATTCAGACACAGATCTCCAGCCTCAATCAGACAGTATCCGCTCAGTCCGAAAAGCTCTGTCAGTTTTCCATTCGCTCCCCAACGAGGACGGGTTTACAATTAAACAGCGCAGCCTATGTTATCCCGGAATTGGCAAAGAATCTTCCGTTGCATCTTATCTCGCCAAGTTTATTGAAAGATTTGCCGAGTCTTCCATTGGCGGATTCTACATTCTTCGAGAGCTCACCAATCGATGTCCTGATTGGAGCCGATATCCCACCATCGGTAATGTCAAGCGGCCCAACATATGTGGCTCTCTTCTCGGCCAAAAAACTATTTTTGGTTGGGTGCTCACTGGTCCCGTGTCCAATACGGCGAGCCATCAAGTTGCATCCTTTTCTTGTAAAATTTCCAGAGTAGCTTCCAATGTCCTAAAAGTGCCCGTCATCCGTTCCAAGCTCACTTCTAATGCTTCTTCGAGGTACTAAGTCCTACCAATGCCGAGTCCCCTCTGAAATCCAACCTCTACGGAAATGCCGCCGCTTTCTCCGCCTGGATTCCGAAAGGAGGCTCCAAGCTGTCCTCGACTTCAGCTACTGCACTAATTGCCTGGCTCACCGACACTCCGGCCAGGATTGCCGAAGCGGTGTAAAAATGTGTAACCGGAGCCACGTTACTCCACCTTCCCGAGTCTCGGCACCCATCTGGCTCCTCTGCGCCACCGCCGCCTTCATCTTCAGCATACAGCGCCGATGTGCGCCCTCGTCTTCCTGTAAGCCGCCCCATCATAGGAATCCCGGATCCATCAGCAACCTCCTTGCTTCAAAATCGGAGCAGACCCTATAGTCTTTGCAATCCTGCAAGGTAGGGGAGAATGTTCAGAGTGAGGACATCGCTGGCGGGGCAACAGCTCTGTGGGCATTCCAGCCACACCACTGTTATCATTCCAGCTACGCAAGCTGTTGCCTTCGCTCTCTCGCTTATGAGCGTTTTTCGCCCCAGTGACGCGCTCTCGCGCGCTCAGACTCACCACGCTCTCGCACCCACTCCCGCTGCCGACAGCCGCTGGCAGCTGACTTCGACTTTAAATTTATTGCGCTTCTACACCCACAAGCAAACGGCCGGCTTTGCACGCGATCATTGTACATACATATATAACGAATAAAACCCTACTTTATAGAACTTGGACTCTAACGCCTTTATCTTGGGACTATCTAAGGGACATCCTGAGACGCCTCTTCGCTCAAACAATGTCAGAACAATGTTACAAGATACAGTGTTCTAGAAGTTCTTCCCGGTAACGTTGCAGACCACAATCTGAACCCAGAAACAAACAGTTCAGAAAGAGTTTTGCTAACGAATAGCCAAACGAAGAAAAAGAAACAGTTGCAGCAAGCAAGCGAGATGGTAACAGCAACA